TAAGCTTTCTCTACGAATTAAATTCTAGGTTAATTAGCACCGAGACCCCTAGAGTTGCCAGTTTTCTGTTTCAGCGCTTCAATGTGGTGATCCAAAGAAGAAACGCCTGTTCTCAGTTCCTCTCCGGAAGCTGATGAACTCCAAGAGGTTCATAACTTGTAGCTTTTACAAATGTCTAATACAGCAAACTACCAACAAATGACGAAGGGTGATAGAAAAAAGGAACATGGAATCTGCATTTATAGGAAACCCAGCAATGTCCTCTAATGATTTGCCCCTTTCTCTGAGGCTATGGGTCCCCCTTCCCATCCAGAGATGGTTATCTTGAGATGATTTCGGGGCTTTTTTTTTTTAGTGTCCCCGCGGCCCGGTCCTCGACCAGGCCTCCACCCCTAGGAAGCAGCCCGTGACAGCTGACTAACTCCCAGGTACCTATTTACTGCTAGGTAACAGGGGCATTCAGGGTGAAAGAAACTTTACCCATTTGTTTCTGCCTCGTGCGGGAATCGAACCCGCGCCACAGAATTACGAGTCCTGCGCGCTATCCACCAGGCTACGAGGCCCCTACGAGGTACGAGGTACCTGTATACATAAAATAGGTAGCAGTTATATTAGTCTTCAATATTGATATCATAACAGGGGTTTGTGTCTTTGGTTCCTTTTCGAGTTCATCTGCTTCATTTGATATTCCATCAGCACTGATGTGCCATTTAAAATCTGCACTGCAGTGTCTGGCCGACTTGCAGTGTGAGGATGGTGTGCTGGTTAGGTGCAGGTGTGGGATGGGTGCAGGTGTGGGATGGGTGCAGGTGTAGGATGGGTGCAGGTGTGGGATGGGTGCAGGTGTAGAATGGGTGCAGGTGTGGGATGAGTGCAGAGTGCAGGAAAAGATTCGACAAGGGAAGGGAGTAGGCAAATGAAGGGAAGTTTGGCTGAGTGATGACTTGTCAAAGGGAATTGGGTGTATGTGTTTGTTTGTGTACACTTAATGATTGTGTGTACACTCGTCTTATTGTGTGTACATGTCAATGTGAAAAGTGAGGTGAGAATGTCTTTTCAAGCAAACCTATAATATATTATTCACTGATGTGTCTCCACAGACGTGTGACCTAGACACACAAGGTTGAAGAGGTCACCTCAGCGCTCCCGTACCCCGTGTCGACCATCCTACTATCCACCAGCCCTCCCGTGCCCCGTGTCGACCATCCTAACATCCACCAGCCCTCCCGTGCCTCATACAGACCATCCTACCATCCACCAGCCCTCCCGTGCCTCATACAGACTATCCTACCATCCACCAGCCCTCCCGAGGCTCATACAGACCATCCTACCATCCACCAGCGCTCCCGTGGCTCATACAGACCATCCTACCATCCACCAGCCCTCCCGTGCCTCATACAGACCATCCTACCATCCACCAGCCCTCCCGAGGCTCATACAGACCATCCTACCATCCACCAGCCCTCCCGTGCCTCATACAGACCATCCTACCATCCACCAGCCCTCCCGAGGCTCATACAGACCATCCTACCATCCACCAGCGCTCCCGTGGCTCATACAGACCATCCTACCATCCACCAGCCCTCCCGACCCTCATACAGACCATCCACCAGCCCTCCCGTGGCTCGTGTCGACCATCCTACCATCCACCAGCGCTCTATGTTGCCTTCAAACTCTTCACTAACGTTCATTCTCGTGTTTTTTCATTGTTTTTATTGGAGTCATGTTTGTTTTGTTTGGCGGGAGCGAGCGTGCGCGCGCGACCCGGGCGGAGGCGCGCCAGATGTCCCCTCAACTCTTTTATGGATTAAGGAACAAGTTGTGTATATTACCTATATACACTACCTTATATATATGCAATATATATGAATATATATATTTTCCCACTGGTTCTCTTTCTTGGTAGTGAGAATATGCTTCAGACACGTTAATCAATATGATCGTGTTGTTATCGATCTTTGATTCAACGTGGATAACAATTCAATTTCTTTTTTTATTATGCAACCCATACCCATCCTGTGGGCGATGGTGTAAAGGATTACAGAGGCACATAATCGATTCAGGAACTGAACCTTCTAGTTCGTTCAATGGATAACAGCCGAGAGATCTGTCAGAAAACCCATCTTGGACAATCAAATGGCCATTTGAGACTCGCGGGAGTCGTTGGTTGTGGCAACAGTCTTGTTCAAGACGGTGATGAGGCCGACCACCCTACGACACTCCCTACACACTCACTCGTTACCCTGGAGAGTCGCGTGAGGCTGCCCTTCTGACCTCCACTCTCTCCCACACATATATACTTAAAGTAGAGGAAGTGTACACAGTGTGGGCCCTGGTGGTGATCACAGTCACATGTGGAGCTCAGGAAGCCGTGCCATGTGTTGATGCCGTGTTCAGGTGTGTGTGGCTCATCATCGTGACCAAACGTCAGGTAGTTTCAACACCTGCAAGTGAAGTGTTGCTCTGCTCACAGTTTTATACCTTTTTACAACACGTGTGTTGATCAGTGTGTACTCACCTAGTTGTGCTTGCGCGGGTTGAGCTTCGGCTCGTCGGTCCCGCCTTTGGTTGTGTGCAGGCCAGAGCTGGGTGTAGCCGCGGCTCCAGCAGCCTGAGTGGTGCCAGACCTGGAAGGCCACCTGCTGGCTGTTCTCCCCTGGCGGGTCTCCACTCCTCGACGGCACAATGGTGTCATACGCCCCCTTGTTGACGGGACTCTAGGGCACCTTTCACGAATTCTGAGTCAAGCGCGATGCATTTGTTTACCTTTCAAACTGAACACACATATTGTCTTACGTTTCTCAGCCTAATTTGTGTGTCCCGCCGCCAGCCTTTCCTCATCTGGAGGAGACTAACTCTTCATGTTTTCCTCTCGGTATCTTATACGTTGTTGTTGGATATTTCCAACATCGAATACAGCATTGTTGTATTCTCATTACTTATTACTAACCATATTAATATTGTAGTAAGTAAAATTAACAACTCGTAGAATTCTCCTGTACTAATAATTCATCTGTGCATTAGGCTAGAATTCTCACGTCATCTGACGCCAGTATTGCGTCAGATTTCTTTACAGTAAAACACATTATATACAATTTGTGTGAGAATTAAATACGATTCTCCATAATTAAAGCATTCTGTATGACAACTGATTGCAGACGAATGGTTCTCTAACTAAAAGCCGAATAGAGCTTTAGAATCAAAACGTTTACCTCGCGATAGAGGTAGCGTCATCAATGAATGCTATGGGGAGACATTAATTCCTCTCCCTTGTATCTTTACTATTCTTAAATAGTTAAATAATAATATTCCGTTCCTCTAAATAATAAACCCGTCCAGTCTTTAGAGTTTCAAGCGCGAATGCGAGAAATATTAATGTTCATGCCAATAATTTGTGTAATGAACGTCGACTCGGCGTGGGTAGGAGGGACGCGACGCCATCCTCAGTCGGTGAGGCGCTCGGTACACGTACACGTGGGGAACCGAAGAGAGGCAGACCTGCGCTTACCGTACTCACAAAAGACGCCATTGTCCAGCAAATAGGACACGTGTGTCTATCCACAGATGAAAGCCGCCACTGTGAGGCGTGAACGACCTTGCAGATAATATCTTCAACTAGTGCTGGTGTTAAATAAGGGCCCGATCACGTGTCCTGATCACGTGTCGTCAGGACTTGGTTCCTGACGACACGTGATCAGCCAGCTTGAAACGCATCAATCCATAGGTTCACTGGAGCCTGAGATGCGTAATTACGGCAATCTTAATACTTACACAGTGCCCACAGTTAAGTACTTTTATTTGATGCATCATTTATAAGTGTATTAATGGCAGGGTGATTGCACGTCACGCGGCAAGACAACACCTAATAACAGGTGATTAGAATTCTATCTGTAGATATCAATAATCTTGAATATGTATTGAGTAGTTAAATCAATTGCTACTGGTAGTCATTTATCTTGCAGCTCGAGAGACGAATTCCTCATGCTGTCTTCTCCATGTTAACCGTGTCATTCGTCGGTGTACCAGACTTTGAGATTAAGAGGACTGCCAGGGTTATCTAAAGGAATCTATTACCAGCTAAGGCTTATTTCTTTTATTCATAACTTTGCAATTTGATACATTCAGAATGTACAACATAAGGTGTGATTTACTGTAACTCATTATTATGCTCATATTCATGTTCTTCTTTGTATGAATCATATTATATTCAACATTAATTATAGGATTAGATTATTATTAATAGAATTAGTGAACGAACCACACTGATTCCTGGACGTACTGACCTCCAGTAATAACCCCCAATGTAGGTGTTTGAGGTTTGGTTTTAATAGTACAGCCCATTAATTATTCTTATGATCATATTTTCTAGTCATATCCATAGTCACTGGTTTTCTCTAAAATTTTATCTAATGATCTAAATTCTCAGTTTCCCTCTTTACTTTAAAAGCGGGTGGTCCTTCGTAATTTAATTTACTACTTTAATTATTAATTAATCAGAATCAAACCCAAATATCCCACAGTTGTGATCATTGCCACTCATTTCTTAAAGGGTGGTCAGGTTGAGGTCCCTTGATATGTCTTCATAAGTCGCATCTCTTAACTCCTTTACCAGTCTCGTAAGAACTCTCCGGACCTTCCCTATTAGGTTTTTGTGTTTCACAAGGCAGGGGAGTTTCATGCTGGCGCTGCCTACGCCAGTATTGGTCTGACATATGCTGTATACACTGCTCTGAATGACTCCTTGCTTACCTTTTTCTTTTATTTAAGAATTCTGATTATGTGGCTGATACTGTATTGACATTTATATATAATATTTATATGACTATTGCGTGCACATGTACGAGTGTGTGTGCACGTGACTGCACATACATGCATGAGCGGGAAGTTGTATGCAAGTGGTCACTGCTTGCGTGCGCTTACGTGCGTTCATTCTCGTGCATAAATCAAGCTTTAACTGTCATTAGGAGACATAAAAATAAATGAAAACCCTCTTTTCCCAGGCACGTGCGTGCGTAGCGAGGTTTGTGAGGAGGCGGGGATGAGGTGCGTGTAGGGGCCGCACACTGCCCGACCTCCCTCCAGCGGCGAGTGCTCAGGGCCAACCAACTCCTCCCTCCACACATGCTGCGCAACACCTCCGTTAAGGTAAATATACAGAAAAATATGTCCTTGGAAGACGACTCCGAGACACAAATTTTGACGCGTGGTCGTCCTCACTCACTGATCTGGTGGTGTGGTGCATGGTTCTGTTGTTTAACTGTGTCACAGATATTTGTATAGTGTCCGGGGAGGGAGAGTGATAAACACACTTTGTTTTCTCAATAACCCACTTTTCCACTTTCACCATTCCTACCCCCTCATCCCTACTCTCTCCCCTCACTTGTGCCCCACTCTCTCCCCTCTCCGTCTCCCTCCTTTATACAAGTTTCTCATTATATCTCCCCTCTTCCGTCTCTTCCTTCGTCCCCTCACTTGTCGATTGTATAAAGTCAGAGTTAACTGTCTACATAATTATTTTGATAAATTTTGCTCACGTCTCCCCTCACTTCCCCCTGGAGGTATGTAAGGTAAATACTGTCTTCCCCTCAGACTGCTCCTGTGCCAGGTAAGTCCACTACGGGCTCACCATAGCCCGTGCTACTTGGAACTTGTTCCGAGTAGCTGAATCTATAACAACAACAACAACATCCCCTCATTCCCTCTCTGTGTGATTGAGAGATACTCTGCACGTTTAAGAAAATATTTGCTCGTCTTTGTTATATTCTCTGTCTATGGGGCGCAAAATAAGGACAGAACAAGTGACGTATTTTGTGTGGTCAGTTGCCTGGTTAAACTCAACACCTTGTGACCTTGTGGGCTTGTAACACAACTTTGGGGCCGTAAGATAATGATCCGTTTAACACGAAACCTCTCAAGTCATTTCTTGTTTCATTTTTACTTTGTGGTTAAATATTTTCATATTCTTCTTCTCGTGTTAATTTCTTTTTGATTTACACGCTCGCACACACACACACACACACACACACACACACACACACACACACACACACACACACACACACACACACACATGACTTCAAAAGTCTTTAACATCATTAGATTTCTGAAAGACATTTAATCTTATTTAAGTGATGAGTCACGAACAGTTTTGAAATGACCAAATGTTAAGAGTTGGAGTTCAGAACAACTTGATCAAGTCTCTACTTTACTTAAGAAGAGTCCGTATAATTCTAGTAAAAGCATGAACTTTAAACCCCTATTTTTTCGTGTCTGTTCATTTAGATGCATTTCAATCAAGTGCAGGAATATGTACAGGTGTAGAATGTCTGGTATTGAGGAGTATCTCGCCAGGACAGGTAGCCAAACAAAACAAGCTTGTTTGTTAAAACAAACAAGCCAAACAGTGTTGTTTTAATGTGTTTTGTAACAAAGCAAATTACTGGTGGCCCTGGCAGTTTGACTCCTGTGGTGGGGTCATGGAGTTTGTAAGTTATTTATTGCTTAGGAAACATTTAAGAGTGTGTGTGTGTACTCGTCTGGTTGTGCTTGCGGGGGTTGAGCTTTGGCTCTTTGGTCCCGCCTCTCAAATGTCAGTCGGCTGGTGTACAGGTTCTGGAGCCTATTGGGCTCTATCAAGTGTGTGTGTGTGTGTATGAGTGTAGACAGATAGATACACACACACACACACACACACACACACACACACACACACACACACACACACACACACACACACACATATATATATATATATATATATATATATATATATATATATATATATATATATATATATATATAAAATAGTAAAGCATAAATTAGAATTGAAACAAAATTAAGCTCCAAATGCAAATTATTACCTAGGAATAATTAAATTTTCACTGTTAATTATTGGATGACCACACCAATTATTCCATTAATTGAGGAATAATATACCTTTTTATCAGTATACTGTATTGTATTTATACCCACAAAATCACATGGTTATCCCTACAAAACCATTGGAAAATCATTGAAAATGATTTTGATGTTACACTACAATTTTTGTTTTCCATTAAATCTTGTAACTCAGGTGAGTCTAGTACGATGATAAACCGGTGTGTTTGACGTACGTGATACTGAAGGAGGTCAAGTATTTGTCCCAACATATCCTTAGAGCCCCAGTATGGGGACATTCATCCATTTGTGCATGATGGTGGGTGAGTCATGAATCAGCAGCCGTCTGTATCCAGTTGGATGACGAGGATAAGCTGAGTCACACACAAGGACTCATCATTAATCAGCTCCACCCAAAGGAGTGATTCATCATTAATCCTTCATCACACACCTACGGAGCGAGTCATCATTAATCAACATCACTCGTGAGAGCTGCGAGATGTCTAGAGAGCGTGTGAGGGGCAGGAGACCAGTGATCACATAATCTATGATCAACGCGCAGATTAAAATTAATCTTGTGAGATTGTTCCATGGGATGCCTGGCGCCCCCCCCCCCCGCCCCCTTTATCTTTGGTGCTTCTGGCGCCACTCAGCCTCCACCCTCAGCCTCCACCCTCAGCATCCACCCTCTGCCTCCACCCTCAGCCTCCACCCTCAGCTCCACCCTCAGCCCCCACCCTCAGCCTCCACCCTCAGCCTCCACCCTCAGCCTCCACCCTCAGCCTCCACCCACAGCCTCCACCCTCAGCCTCCACCCTCAGCCTCCACCCACAGCCTCCACCCTCAGCCTCCACCCTCAGCCTCCACCCACAGCCTCCACCCTCAGCCTCCACCCTCAGCCTCCACCCACAGCCTCCACCCTCAGCCTCCACCCTCAGCCTCCACCCTCAGCCTCCACCCTCAGCCATGATACTGACTATATATTTGCTCTAATTTCGAAGGCATCATCAACATTTGATGAATTTGGGATGTTTGGGATATTTTGAAAACTGCAGGGGGGTTTGGGCAAAATGTGACCCACCGCCGCTTTCAGTAATTGGCAGATTTTCGGTAAAAAAATTCGGAATTTCAAACTGCTAATACGTGCAGAGAGCCAGAATTTGGCTCCAAAATATGGCTCAGGTGTCGAATTTGGGATGTTTGGGATATTTTGAAAACTGCATGGGGGTTTGGGCAAAATGTGACCCACCGCCGCTTACAGTAATTGGCATATTTTCGGTATAAAAAGTCGGAATTTCAAACTGCGAATACGTGGGTGACAGCTGGGACGCAATTCTTGACGCAGGTGTAGGTGACAGCTGGGACGCAAGCCTTGACGCAAGTGAGCACCAGACAAAAAATAATTGGTCTATAGGCAGCTATAGACGGAATAATAAAATAATTGTTAAACATGTGGGACAAGGCAGTGAGTGAGAGAGAGAGAGAGAGAGAGAGAGAGAGGGGGAGGGAGGGAGGGAGGGAGGGAGGGGCTAGGAATTGATTTGGATACACAAGATAAAATATTTAGATAAAATGTGTGACCAGAGCTTCACTATTCAGTTTTGGAACTCACTATACTTTATACATTCTTTACACATCTTCGTTCACAAACTATTCTTTGTGAACAATAGAAGAAATAAGGTTATTTCTTCTATTATGTGGGGCCGAGATATATATAATATATATTGTGAATATAAATATATATAAATATATATATGAATGCCAGAGGCAGGCAGAGGTCGGAGTGCGCATGCACAGCGTGCTGGTGAAGCAATTCTTGTGGTAAAATTATTTTGATAATTTTTGCATAAATAATAAAGTTTTACTATATGGGAAATAATAATAATTAATAGAAAATCCGTAGGCACCGTCATGAGGGTTCGAACCTACGTGCCTGAGAACACACAACACATAGGTTCGAAGCCTCATCACGGCTCCTATCGATTTTATCATTAATCATGATAGTGTGATTACTCTGTGTAATAATAACAATAATAATTCAGAGTTGAGTAAAAATGGTAAAGTAAGATTTTCGTGCATTCACTTTGGCACAGTGTCACGTGACACTTTTGCTGTGATGGCACTCCCAACCCACCCATGTTGGGCACGTATCCAACAGCAATTACCGTGAAAATTTGGGTGAAGTCAGACCCCAAGCATCGAGCT